CCTCTCCAAAAATATACCACTGATTACATAGTTATTAAAATAATAATTCTAATTATTATTTGTAATCAATATGGTAATTGTTAATTATAATTATTAAAACAACAATAGAAATTTCCGCATTAAACATATATATCTATAGTTAAATAAGTATGCATAAAAAACAAATATATTTTTGAAAATATTTTTCTAATATTAAATTGTTTAATGAATGAAAATGAATGAGTGAGTAAAAATATTAAAAATAAAAATACCCGCAATTATGGACCGTAATTAAAATATATATAATAATAATTAGACATTCATATGCATTGTAAACACAATCTATTATAACGAGCAAAATAGTTTAAAAAGTAGGTTTAAAACCAATGCGTTGTAGTGTAAAATAGACCTTTGAATCCATTAAAATATTTACACTAATCTGTTTTCCGGAACAGTTATAAATTTATCATTTTGCTATTAAATTACAATCAAAACATACAATTATATTATAATTTAGTTTCACTCTAAATATGTTAATTGTTAAAGTAGATCTTCTTAAAATAAAAGAGTTAAAATAATCTATAACAACTGCATTAAATGAGAATTTAGAATAGTTCGTTAATTGTTAGTGAATCTACCTGTTATATAATGTTAGCGTATTAATTACTTGGTTTAACACAAGGCATTTAAGTCGAATATCTGATTGTATAAAATCGTTAAGTAATTAATTAGGTGTAAGCACTAAGTATGTACCTAATATTTAATCGTTTTTTACGTATGCGCTCCAATATATATTATCGCATAAATATGTAATGTACATAGTACAGTCGTGATAAACGTATTATAAATTAAATTATTATTTGTTTGAACGATGTAATTGGAAATACATTTTAGATTTGCTATATTTAATACAAGTATAACAATAATATGTACTGTTGGTGCTTCCAAAAATGAAAATTTTCATGATTCTTATTGATAATTCAGAGCGGTTAAAATTTATAAATTTACATTTTAAAATATTTTACTTGAATTTGTATATACAATCCACATAAAATTAATAAAAATATTATTTATTAAGAGTTAACGCCCGCGAGGGGCAAGAGTACAGTTAAGTAATTATTATAATCTAGAACAATAAGATGAGAATAATACAAAATAATTACAATAATAATAATCTCCTATAAGTTATAATATTTTGAATACATGATATTTTAATTTCGCCTTATCATCTAAAAAAAAAATCAAAAACTTTTAATTCATTACACAAACTTAACATTAAGTACTTAGGGCTGTTTAGAAAAAAATTGTTTGCTTGTATTTCAGTGTAAAAACAACGAAAATTACGAGTAGCAATTTGCGGTACGCTAAACGGAATTAATTATAATAATTCTGGACCGTCTATAAAGCCATTTAAGAGTTCATGTATAAAATAAGCATCGATAAAATTCCGTTTAGATTTCAATGTTATCATGTTGAACTGGTTTTCGACTTCTGAAATAGAACTACCGACTAGATTAAATTGATGAGCTACGTATTGTGCTGAGGAAACGTTTTCAATTTTATCAGTTAAACCTATTGGTCTTAGGTTCCAAACTGTTGAACCAAATTCAAGTCCAGATCAAACCAATGCATTGTATAAGGTTTTTAAATAGTTTAAATGTTTAAACTCAGTACAATTACATTTAATGAAACCAAGATTTCTAAAAGTTTTAGCGCAGATACTATTGTTGTGTTCATTAAAAGTAAGATTAGATGAAATTAGATGCAAATAAATAAAATTATAATTTGTTAGTTTATTAAAAATATGTACGTTAAAAATCGTTAAGATTGCCAATTAATTTGGTGCGTGAAGAAGAAGTTGACTGTAGATATATATTATTACACTTATTGGATTTTACGGTAAAAATAGTTATATAATTAGTTATTAGTATACTGGTGCAAAACAATAATTTTCTCATTAAAAACAAACATATTTTTTACATTATAAGAGTTAAACAATACATTATTTTATAATGGACTAACTCAGTGTAAAACGTGTGGTTTACGTATTGGATCACAATATTAATCCATAAGTAAATACTTAAATATTTTGTATAATCAAACACCTTGGGCAATATACTATGAGGATACGAAAAAACGGGTGATAATACTATGTGTAATATGTGAACCGCGGAATGCGAAAATAGTCACGAACAGATAAAAATAACTCATACTTGGTGTAGTTGACGTCAAATGTCTCGGAACAAAAGAAAAACCCTACGTGATATACAGCGTTTATATACCACCTATACGATATTATTACCAGATATTATCTAAGAAAATATTATAACATATAATATTTCACCCTCGCATTGAAACAGTTATATTGTATTAATATGACATCGTACATTTTTAGATATTTGAGATGCTTCTGGTTTCTGCTACCCCACTTATCTAAAGGGGTTAAATACTTATGGCTGAATAAACATCGTGTCTTAAAAAGGATTTTTCAATTTGTATTCTATAGAACAGTAGTAGTTATATATAAATAAAAATGAGTATAAATATAATGACCTACCACAAAATTGTTTAATATATATTTCGGATAAATAGTCACAAACACTGTTCTAGGCGTCTCGTAGTGGGCTGATATTAATAAAAATTGAGAATCATGAAAAAATTATAAGTACATATAGTTTTCGATATTTTTCTTAACTGGATTTATACTATAATACATTAAAATAGTGATATTGATATAATATAAATTATATTGTGTTGTGACCACTCGTTTAATATTAACAAGTGAGCTATTACGTATTATTTAGTATGTTGTTATTTATTGCCATGGTATGTTATATGATTTTATTCAATTATTTTCCTTTCCTTCTAAATTTAAATGTCTGAAATGCTGTTAATTATAATTAAATCTATAGTTTTAGCACAAATGGCGTTTAATAGTGATTTCATAGTTAAATTTTAGAACTAATTTAATTATAATTAATTATACCAAGTGTATTATAAACGTAATGGTATAAATAAAACGGAAAATTCTTCTAATTCTCACAAGAATAATTCATCTACATCCGAATAAAATAAAAATACAAAATGTAGCATACTCAAAAAATTTTTTATTAAATTATATGTGTTAAGTTATTATTTGCAATTAAAAGATTAACATTTTTTTTGTTTGATTAAATGTGAACTATAGATAAATTTTATAAAAATGTTATTGTAATTTAATTTTTTCCAACATTTATAAATTTTAGCCTACTATGTGTCAATATATATCATACTAAGGATAATATTTAGAGTAACGGATATATAATAATAAATTCTGTATTATATACTTATCGAATACACACGCATACATATATATATATAGTATATAGTGTAATAAGTTGATTCTCTACGTGCAGTTGTGACAAAAATGTTTGAAATTCGGTTATGTTGTCGGTAGTTTGCATTGCAGTGATATTAATAATGGTTAACTTTTCATATTACGAGATTCAATTAGTTCCAAGGAGGAATGAATGGTGAAATAATATAAAAAAATGGACATATCAATCGAACGCAGGTGTAGTGTATTCATACAAAATCATGAAATGATAAAAAGTCTAGCACACAAATCGAAATTAGATAGGTAGTATATTTAGCAACAGGATTTGTTGAATCTATCCACTCATACCTTTTGTCATCAATTGCCAACATTTTCCACATAAAATATACGAATTTGGGTGGATTTTGACTAATGTGGGCAAAGATTAAAATGAGCATCCGCGTAATATGGGTACTCAGTTCGGTATATGTTTATTCAGCAATATTTATTTTATTATAATAATAACTAATACAATTGGGTTTCATCGTATCTATGAGATTGTATTTATCAAAAATAATTAACTTTTAAACCTTTATGGGATTTTGTTGTGAGTTTAATTGAAGAATGCATAGGAATGTTTATCAAAAGCAATACAAAATAAAAAAATGAAATGATAAACTTACAAATTTCATTACCTAACTCGATAACAATAATTTCAGTCTTTCCGTGGATTTTAACGTGATTAACGTTTTTGATTATGCCTGGAAAATTTCTTTCCGCAAAGGATATTTATTTATCTTTTAATTTAGCTTTTTTTTTGCCAAATTTATGGGTTAGGTACGTGTGTAAAATATAAAATTTTCGATAGTGGAAAAGGTGGTTTTTTTTAAGTAAATTCAGTTTATTTGGACAACCACTTAATGTAGGGCCAATTATTTTGGTCTCAATGTATCCAAATCAATCGGAATTCAATGTATTAATTTAATATTTCAATTTTTAACTCTAATTACGATACAGCAACTATAGCTTAATAATATTATTAATTCTATTGTTTTGTATTAAAATGTTTACATATTATTTACCTCATAGTCCTTCAAAGACCTTTATAGGTATATGAGTTATCCACCTACCACTTGATCTAATGTAAAAGATTTAGTGGCCGCTACGCGTAGTGATAGTGATGGATGCCACTGATGAGAGAAGAGTAATAATCTGAATCGAGAAATAATTTTTATAAACGACAGTTATGATTAGGACGATTTTCTCGGTCGGGATTAGGAACTGTCCCAATTCCATATAACACGCGACTTGTTTTCATCCCATCACGGCGCAACAGATGAATACGGTCAATAGACGCAACTAGGGAGCGCAAGAGGGTCTTTAACACTACTGTGTTCAAATTTAGCATTCCTGTTTTTTTTTAGATCAATTTATAATAATTACAGTGAAATACCATCAGTTTTACTCTCAGCAATTTCAACACCCTCAATATTTGAACGCTATTTGCGCTAATGAAGCTAATGTACGCTTCCCCGTCTCCTCGCTATCGAAGAGTCGAGTATCGTTTAGTTCATGGACTTTAAAAGATGTTTAGGATTATAATTATCATCTATCACACTAACGCCATCTGTACGTTATATCACTCAATATGTCATATCACGTCTATCCACTGTTGGTTATTAAACGACGATGTCTGTGGTCCGGTCGTTGTCGATAAGTGTTATCAGCCCAACACAGAAAAACGTGTTTTCGAATAATGATCGTCTACAGGTAATTTTTCTTAAAAATCGCGTTTTAATCGTGGTGAAAACATTTCATTATGTGTATGTTTTTTTTGGAGTTTTCTTACTTCCTGACGTCTCTAAACTTTATTGATACTTAATAATGCAAAGTTGTGCTTGAAAATTCTTGAGTTTCATTATATATTCAGTGACTGATAATGGCTGAAGAATTCGACGACAAGAAGAAAGAACATCGGAAAAGACATTCTGGTAATATATTCTTTTTTCGTTTTCACACGTATCTTATCATATTCTCGTTTGTAATTTTGATAATTATTTATTTCAAATTTTGTAAAACTTTATTTATTCTTTGTGTAGGCAGGAAAGCCGAGAAAAAAGACTTAAAGAAAAAATTGGATCAAGATGAAGCATCTGCAAGGAAAAGAAATCCCAAGGCATTTGCTATTAACTCTGTTGTTAGTGCTCAAAGGCGATTTAGAAGGTGGGTGGAACATCTAATTAATCTGTTTATAGAATATTTTTAATAATTATAAAAACAAATTTGTATTGATTCAGAGCTCAAGATTTGGATACTAAAAAACAACATATTCCCCTTGTTGATCGTACACCTTTGGAACCTCCACCCATTGTTGTTGTTGTTGTTGGACCACCAAAAGTCGGTAAAACTACTTTAATTAACTGTCTTATAAAGAATTTTACTAGACTACCTCTGACTACCATTAATGGGCCTGTTACTATTGTATCTGGTAAAAGACGACGTATTACACTAATTGAATGTAATAATGATATAAACAGTATGATTGATTTGGCCAAAGTTGCGGATCTTGTACTCCTGATGATTGATGCTTCATTTGGATTTGAAATGGAAATATTTGAATTCCTTAATATTTGTCAAGTAAAATTACAAGTCATAGATTATTTGTAAAGTATTAATGATTTATTTATTTTATATAGGTGCATGGAATGCCAAAGATAATGGGTGTATTATCTCATCTTGACATGCTGAAAAATAATAAAACTCTCAAACGTACTAAAAAGTTACTTAAACATCGTTTTTGGACTGAAGTTTATGCAGGAGCAAAATTATTTTATTTATCTGGTATTCACCGAGAAGAATATGTACGTAATGAAATTAAAAATTTAGGAAGGTTCATATCAGTTATGAAATTTAGGCCTTTAACCTGGCAAACTTCTCATTCATATGTTCTGGGTTTGTACATTTATTTTAAAATATGTATTGTTAAACAAGTTACAACTTAGATACTGTCAATTACTATTATTTATCACTGCTCTAAAATTTAATAATAGTTTTAGAGTATGTATTATAGTATTTAGCTTTTGATTTTTTTTTTTAGTATTTTGTTTAGTGTTAATATTATTTTTTAATGATTTAAGTGGATCGTTTGGAAGACCTTACACCACCAGAATTAATTCGTCAGAATGTTAAATGTGATAGACGAGTGAGTTTGTACGGATTTGTTAGAGGTATTCCAATGAATAAACAAAGTAGTGTTCATATACCAGGTAAATAAAACTAATATTAATTGAAAAACTATATATATAATAATAAATATATGCTTAAACCAATAAATTCAATAAATTTCTTAGGTTGTGGAGATTCACCTATATTTGATATGTGTTATCTTCCTGACCCTTGCCCGTTACCAGAAAAATTAAAAAAACGAAGTTTAGTTGACAAAGAACGTCTTGTATATGCACCATTTTCTGGAGTTGGTGGAATTGTGTATGATAAAGACGCAGTATATGTTGAACTAGGTGGAAGTCATTCTCATAGTAAAGTAAGTTTTTCTCGTTAAATTTATTTACAACAATATTAAATATTTCATTTGTTTAGATTATGAATAATACTCAAGATAATACTCCTGGTAGAAATTTAGTTAACAACATTGTGGAAACACATGATACATTAGATCAAAAAATAGATCGTAGTGAAGTTCAAATATTTTCAAATACCGAACCAATAGTTTCAACTGATTTTGGACAGGAGTATGTATAAAACTTCACTCGTTAATAGGGCCTGAATTTATTCTTCTAAAACTATTGAACAATTACCTTAAAAAATAACCTATAACATTTAATTTTAGAAATTATATTGTCTTTTTTTAATTTATCATTTACAAAAAAACTATATTAATTTTAACAAAAAATAATAATAATTAACCTGATGTTTTTATTAAATTTTACTTGATGTGGCATCAATGATTTTGATTGAATTTATCTTATGATAAATAAAATATATACTATAAATAAGTTAAATTTAAATTATTAAGCTGTGTAATGTACAAAAATATGCAATAAAATTAAAAAAAAAAAAAATTGAAATATGTTAGAAAATACTCTAAAAATGAAAATATTTTCCAAATAATATTTTTACATTTGAAGTGTTAGTTTCATGAAGAGAATTATAATATATTTAATATATACTTGGAAAGTCTTGTTAAGATGATGATTTTAGATCACCCTATAAAAGATGCACATTGTATTGAATTCAGAGCCTTTTATATTAACATTTATTTTCATAATGAATATGCCAGAACTTTAAATTTTTATTTTGTAGTGATGAAATGGAAGAAAATATATCTGTAACTAATGTTAAAGATCTAAATGATGGAAGAAATAGACGTAAAGTCGTATTTAGATCAGATGATATGAACTTTTCAGATCTTGATGAATCTGATAATGATAATGATGACAATGAATCTGATATAGAAGATATTGCTCCTATAAGTGAAGAAAAAATTAATACTGATTCTGAATGGTCAGATTCTGAGGATGAAACAGAAAATAAAAATAGTTCTAATGACAAATCACGTTTTTATGGAAAATCCTTTGGTAAAGAAAATGAAATCAGAAAAAAAATTGCTAATGAGTTGGCGAAATTGGATAAAATTAATCAGGAATCAAATATTAATAACTGGAATGATCAAGAACAAGATGTTTCTGAAGGTAATCTGGAATATGATGAAAATTCTGATGTTGAAGATGATAGTGAAAACGAAGATTTAAAAGATAGTGAAAGTGATGAAAATATGGTAGATAATTTAAATGACCAAGGCAGAAAAACAAGTTTGGTTGGTAAAGAATTAACTAATGGTTTACAAGAAATTAAAGAAGACACCACATTAAATTGGAAGAAAAATTTATCACAAAAAGCAGCAAATGCATATTATGAACGACAAAATTCAGTTGTTAACCTCTGGAAACTAGTTTATGGTAAAAAATTTTTAGCAAACAAATTAAATTTTCAACTTAAAATAAATTCAGAAGTTTTAATATTTTGAATAGGTGAAGAAGTTAATGAACAATCGAAAGAAGATCAATCAAATGAAGAGGAAGATGAATTAGGTGGTCTCTTTCGAATTTCATCAATGAAAAATGTAAAAAAACAAAACGAAAAAAAAGATATGAATAAAGAGGATGTTTCTAAATTTAATGTTAATCATTATCATGATTGGAGTTTACCAGAAGTAAGAATTAAAAGTACCTGCTTGATTTTGGTATAAATTTAAAGAAGCTTAAACTTTACAGATTTTTGGTTAAACTTCTCAAAAATATAATCAAATTAACTAATAAATATTATTAGTAGTTATATTCAATAATTGTTTATTGATTGATTTAAGTTATTAATTTTTTTTTAGGTTTGTGATACTATAAGAGATATGTTTGTAACTGGAAAATGGAAACGTAATGAAGATGCTACAGCACTTCTTGAGGATGACGATGAAGAACTTTATGGGGATTTTGAAGATTTGGAAACTGGAGAGATGGTGCAAGGCAAAAATGTTGATTCTGATAATGATAGTGTCATTGAAAAACCTAATAAACCATTGACTGAAGATGAATTGATCGAAAAAAAGAAAAAGTTAAAAGAACAGTTTGATGAAAATTATGATGATAAAGATGGAACTCCTAGTACTTATTATGACGAATTAAAAGAAGAAGCTTCCAAACAAGCTCAACTTAATAAAAGCCAGTTTGAAGGAATGGATGATGAAATTCGTGTGCAGCTAGAAGGATATAGAGCTGGGATGTATGTGCGAGTTGAATTAGATGCTATGCCTTGTGAATTAGTAAACAATTTTGATCCATCCTACCCTCTAATTGTAGGAGGTCTTCAAAGTGGAGAAGAAAATATTGGATTCTTAAAAGTTATTATTAAAGCTTAATATTTGATAGAACTGTTAAATTTTTTAATAAATTAACTGTATAAATAGGTTCGAATTAAGAAACATAGATGGTACAATAAAATACTAAAAAATCGAGATCCTGTTATTGTATCAATGGGTTGGAGAAGATTTCAAACATTACCAATATTTTCTAAACAAGAAGATAATATGAGACATAGGTAACAAGTAAATTATTTAAATTTATAGTCTTAAAATGTTTTTAATATTTTATGTTTATTAAATTTTAAATTTCTAATTAAAATATTTCAGAATGCTTAAGTACACTCCTGAACATGTAATGTGCATGGCACACTTTTGGGGTCCAATGACGAAACCTGGTACAGGATTTCTAACTATTCAAGATGTTTCATCCCAACAGGTATAAAATCTAAACAACTTGTTAGAATATTATTTAATATTTATTTGTTTAAAGGCTGGTTTCAGAATAACAACTACTGGGACAGTTGTTGATACTGACCAATCAACTCAAGTTACTAAGAAATTAAAATTGACTGGTTCCCCTTTGAAAATTTACAAACGAACAGCATTTATTAAAGATATGTTTAATTCCACTTTAGAGGTAACCAAATTTGAAGGTGCACGTATTAAGACTGTATCTGGTGTCAGAGGACAAATTAAAAAAGCTTGTCCAAAACCAGAAGGCTCATTCAGAGCTACTTTTGAAGATAAAATTAAAATAAGTGGTATAAATGGATTTGTTTAATATTTTACATACATTAAATAAATATTATTTTAACCATTATTTTTTTTATCAGATATTGTGTTTTGTCGTACATGGTACAATGTTGAAGTTCCAAAACTCTATAATCCAGTTACATCACTACTTTTACCTTTAAATGAAAAGAACTCTTGGCGTGGTATGAAAACTACTGGACAGCTAAAAAGAGAAAAGGGAATTAAAGGAATGCCACAAAATGACTCTATGTATACTGTAAGTTTTTAATATTTTTATATATGATTAGACTATGATTTATATTGTACAATTAATAATTCTATAAAATGAATGGGTTTCATAGTCAATTCATAGAAACATGAAACATTTCAAGCCTCTCAAACTATCAAAGAATTTGCAAGCTCAGTTACCATATGTTGATAAACCTAAGACTTTGGCTACTGCTAAATTAGATTTGAAGAAACAACGTGTAGCTGTGGTTAGAGATGGTCATGAAGAACAAGTTGCGTCGTTGATGAAGATGATTCGCACTACCTATAAAGAAAAGAAACGAAAAGACAAAAAAGATATGAGAGTAAGAGTCAGAAAACATAAAAAAGATATTCAAACCGAAGTAAGAGCTAAGTATAAGAGAGATCAACAAAAGAAAAAAGCTGTTATGAGAAAACGTTCTAAAATGTCATCTAGTAAATAAATGTACGTTTTCTGTGTTAAAAATCAACACTATTTTATATTGTTTAAATAAATTATGTCGATTTCTTTATTAAATATTTATTCTTATACCTATCCTTATGTCATCTTTAATAATTGTTTCTATATGGATGTATTATAATCTATTCATATTTATGCATGTAAATTAATTAGTAATATATATATTAGGGTGGCACATATTTTTAACTTATGAACTTTTGGTTTCTCGCCTTCTCATTTTGTTCATTATTATCAGAAAGTAATTAAGTAATATTTCATACATTTTTACGGTTTTTTAAGTATATCAGAATAATGGTTGATGATATAAAAAAAAATCCCATACAAGAATGATAAAAAATTAAGTTTTCTAAAAAAATTGAATAAGATTATAAATTTGTTGATTAAATTGAAATAAATTGATTGTTTTATTGCAAGAGTCGGGTAAAAATATAAATCCTTTCTAGTGCAAGAAAATAATTAATTTTATAATATTACAAAAAAATACATATAAGGTATGAATTGATATTATTCTATTATTTTTATAAATACAAATTAAAAATTATTTACAATCACATAATATAAAATAATGTTCTTTTTATCTGTACCTTAGGAGCAAGTTATGATTTTATTTTATTTTATCTTCTGAGGGAGGGAGTCGTGACTCGGGACCTCCCCCAACAAAAAAAAAGGCACAAACGTTGTTTAGCCTCAATTTTTCAGTAGTTAAATGTCAATCTAAATCAGTCTAAACTAAAATTATTATGGAAAAATTAAGAAAAATATTTTTAAAATTGTTAGTTTTATTTATTCTGACTTAATTTTCACATTTGAGTACATTTTAAAACGTAAATAAATAAAATTAAAAACAATATAACTCAAATACAC